AATGGCTGAAATAGTTTAACATTCAATACAATGTCATTGTGTTGACATGAAAATATTCTGTTTTTGTAGCCATAGGTGTTAATTTAAACCATGGGATGCTCAATCGTATGAACTATGAATGCAGATTTGTAGTGGTGTAGTGGCATAGACTTGTCTATGTAAGATATATTGAGCATTAATTGCATGGTTTAAATTAACACCTATGGCTACAAAAACAGTTGGTAGAATATTTTCATGTCAACACAATGACATTTTATTGAATTTTAAACTATTTCAGCCATTTTTGTGCCTTATATATACAACTATAACTACAAATTGCATATATTGAAGGGAAATTTACTTCTTAATTTTTTCCAACTATAGTAGGATTATAGGGGATGTTTATATGTAATGCAAGCCAGCCGAGATACTGGCTTTAGTGGCTTACTTTACTAAGGCAAATTTTGCTTATTGTACAACCATCCATGCAGTATGAGCATTCCAGTGTTTATAATGAAACAATCATAATAGCTAGATATTTGACAAATCAACCATTTGCCTATAGAACTACATGAATGTGGCAACACTATTATTCTGTTCTTTATAACTTAATTGCTTGGACAAAAATCTATGAAAACAGTAAATTTAGTGCGCCACAATCCCTAGCAGTATTCCTAGCAGTATTCCTAGCAATATCCCTATCCCAGTGGTTCTGCATCATCAGTTCACAATTTTATTTTAAGTCCACAACAGTACGTGGGTTTCACTTAAAATTATCCCTTTCAAAAGCATTGTAATACTTTATGAAATACAAAATTTCTATATTTATTTTATGTGGCCTAAATAACAACGCTGTTTCCAAGCAGCATATCTGCTTTGTGTCAAGATTTTGTGTGTTATAAATATTACATGTAAATCGACTATGAAATATTCTAGCAGTATTAAGTATATAAACTATATTTTTATCAACATACCATACAAGGTGAACAAAATCCACATTAAAATCACTTCAAATATTGTACAACTGAAGAAGTCACATGACAAGAGAAACAATATTATTTGCTTGATTCTATTCAAAAATAAATAATCCATATTTTCACGACATTTTAGAGAAATACCAGAATTAGTGCAGAAAATTTCCAATTCGTTATATTATAAATTCGTCCGTTTGTTTATATTTGCATAAATTATATATTATTTAATTACTATTTTCCATATTTCACGCTGACAATACGTCAGACTCTGACGTCAGACTCCGTGTTTTCCATATGACTCCGTGTTTTCCATATTTTTCTCTGACGTCAGACTCCGTGTTTTCCATATGACTCCGTGTTTTCCATATTTTTATGACGTCAGACTCTGGGACTCCGACTCCGGGGCTCTGACTCCGACTCCGTGTTTTCCATCTAACCTTTTAACCCATTAAGCTGCAACTGTGTTGCTTCAGAAATTTTACTTGACAAGGGGAGAGTCTTGCATCTGCTCTTTATTAATGAGCTTCAGTTGTATAAAATGATATGTTTGTAAAAGCTGGAAGATGTACAAGCGCTGAGACAATGCTTCAAATGTTCTCTTTATATATATTTCAGATTAATATTGGAACTGGGTTATACTGTAGCCCGGCTCCAAATATTGTTCTCAAGTCTCAACAGTCAGATCTGGATTGAGTTGATAAACCGATGTTGTAAGGTAAGAATTAACAAGAATAAATAGTGCTTTCTATGAAGAAAATGACAAACTGGCTCAGCTAAGCTGGCCACCCAGGCCAGACAAATCAGTTTTGATCTTATAAACAGTCTCTACAAAAATTTAGTAACTAGTAACAACATAATTACACATGAATCCTAAGTGTACCTCCAAATGCAGCCATTATGCCAGAAGTATGAAGGGTCAGTATGCAATAGTCAATTTTCTGTCATGTCATGCATGAGTCATTACAGTATGGTACATGTAGAGCTGTCCATTGGCCTGCAATGATGCAGTGGGAGGGCTGTGGCTGGACCCATTGACCTGCCATTTGTCTTAATGTGCTCTGTCTTGTTAAATTAATTTACTCTTGTTAATTTACTCTGTCTGATACCATTTTGTCTTGTTAATTTACTCTGTCTGATACCAAACAATTTTACATATCATTCCATGCTTCATACTAAGTCCAAACAAAGAAATGCCTGGGTTTCTATTTCTCATATGCAAAAATTTAGGCAGGGTTTTCTTTTTTTCTTGTAAATTTTTTTTTATTAATGTTCATGAATGACAATGATATTCTACATCAATTGCAGCAGCACAGATGACACAAACATTCGTTAAATATTACATCAACTTTGAAACAAACAGGGTTATACTTTCTTTGTAGGTTTCCATGGCGATAAAACATATAATACTTTTGTTTGTGAAAACACCATAATATGTGGTTACATGGTGTTTCCACAAACAAAAGTATTATATAGTAAAAAACTAATGCCATGAACTGGGTATCAAAACTTGTTCCAACTCTTTGCAAACTTCAGATAAAGAGATTAGGGTCGGTGATTTCTTTGGTCTAACTCATTAGTGAGCCCTAATGTATCCTGTAATATACTTTACAAAAATTGTATTAAATCAAATGTAACCTAGTAGATGGTTAATTAAGTCAAGATATACCTGGTAACCCATTAGACATGGCTACCCTAAGGGCATCCCCTATTTGGCCTAACACTATCTAGATTATTCTTGCTGTCTCAATGCCAATTAAAATCTAAAACATATTAAATAAATCTGATTTTATCAATTCCTATTTTCTCAGCTCTTGTTCTGGATGATGCAGTCTATGGAAAGACAGCTGCTATGCGGTACATGGTACAGGACAAATATGCTGTGGGGCTTGAACTAAAAGCAAACCAGCTGAGTGAGACTTGACATTAACAATTAATGACTACTCGATCATTAGATTAATATTTCTGGCCATGTATATAAATATAATTATATAATATTAGGAAATTTTAAATAAGTGTAGGTTATAGCAAGGTGTAATTCTGCCCCAGGGGTTGTTCAATGCTGGACTAGCGCCAACCCTGGATTAAAATTTAGCCTGCTGTTTTATGTGTGTATCACGAACAAAGGTGTTCCTGTTGCAGGAGAAGGGGTTATCATTCCAGGTTTCAACGTAAAAGATAACCAAGTGTCTCTCTATGGACTCTCCAAGAAGATTTATTTAACCGATGTGATGTCTACAGTTTATACAAAAAAACTAGTGTGGTAGTGTTTAATTTTAAAATATATTACAATAGAATGTGGAACGTTTCCGTTTAGTTTGTGTATTTCTACACGTCTGTTTATTTCAAAACTTCAGAGAAGAAAACTCCTATCGATCCAGATAAGATCTCTGAAGAAATATTTCCAAATTTATAGACAAGCTGTCAGGTAGTTTGCTTTGAATTTTAGGTTAACCAAGGGTTAAGTTAATCCAGCCTTGAACTCATGAACTGGCCCTTGGAGAAAAATTGATTGTGCAGTCTTAAATTTATCTATATGTGTAACCTATAATTATATATTTACTAATAAATACATTTAATATTCTGATCTAGTATTTCTTTGTAAATTATTACGGCTTCAAGTGAACATGACAGAGGTACAGTTGCAGCAACTTGATGTTGCAGAAGTATGAGGAACTAGTTTTATACAAGAAATAAATCTCACTTGGTGGCAGTTATGTGACATTTCTGTTTGATAGATAATATACAGATATTGACCGCGTAACTAACCTGACCACGTAGCTCAGTTGACAGAGTATTGGGCTAGTATTCCAAAGGTTGTAGGTTCGATATCCACTGTGGCGGGTATATTTTTCAAGCTCGCCCGGTGTGGATATACACTCAGAGTAACATCACAAACATCATAATATACAGATAATTTTATCTGTAGGGAAACTATACTGTCACATAACTGTGACAGATATGTTATTGGTCCAAATTCCTATATGTTGCAGATATATGATAGATATCTGTCACATAACTGTGACAGATATCTGTCACATAACTGTGACAGATATGTTATGGGGCCAAATTCCCATATGTTGCAGATATGTGACAGATACTTTCGTACATATATTTTGCAGAAATATTACAGAACTGTGACATATATCCGCCACATATCTGTCAGTTTGGTAAGGGTTATTATTTATATAAATGATATATCGAACTGCTCTCCCTTATTAAAGATAATATTATTTGCTGATGATACTAGTATTTTTTATTCAGGCAAAGATCTTGACCAACTACTACAATCGGTTAACATAGAGCTTGAAAAATTGTCCATATGGTTTAAAGCAAATAAGTTGTCATTAAATCTCAAAAAACAAAAAGTATGATTCTCTGTTCGAGGACCAAACGTTATACAAAAAATATTGATATTACGATTGATAATCAAATTATAGTACAAGTTAGTTCTTTAACATTTCTTGGCATTCATATTCATGAACATCTAGATTGGAAACCTCATATTAATATAATTTCTCTAAAAATTTCTAAGTCCATTGGAGCCATAAACAAAATAAAATCACTAATTTCGGCCACTGCTCTGCGAACTCTATACTGTTCTTTGGTACTACCATATATTCAAAATTGCAACATAATCTGGGCAAACACTTACAGTATCAATCTTGAAAAGATATTAAAACATCAAAAACGCACCATCCGAATAATTGCTAATGTAGGATATAAGGATCATACTAAGCCATTATTTCTTAAGCTAAAACTATTAACAGTGTATGATATTAACAGGTAGACTTTGATGGCTGGACACTAGTTGACGTCGATGACTGGACACTAGTTGATGTCGATGACTGGACACTAGTTGATGTCAATGGCTGGACACATGTAGACTTCGATGGCTGGACACTATTAGACGTCGACAACTGGACACAGATAGACTTAGATGGCTGGACACTAGTAGACGTCGATGGCTGGACACTAGTAGACATCGATGGCTGGACACAGGTAGACTTCGATGGCTGGACATAGGTAGACTTCAATGGCTGGACACAGGTAGACTTCGATGACTGGACACTAGTTGACGTCGATGGCTGGACACTAGTTGACGTCGATGACTGGACACTAGTTGATGTCGATGGCTGGACACATGTAGACTTCGATGGCTGGACACTATTAGACATCGACGACTGGACACAGGTAGACTTCGATGGCTGGACACTAGTAGACGTCGATGGCTGGACACTAGTAGACATCTATGGCTGGACACAGGTAGACTTCGATGGCTGGACACTAGTAGACGTCAATGGCTGGACACTAGTAGTAGATGTAGATGGCTGGACACTTGCAGATTCATTACTGTATTGTTCCTTTGATTGTATATCGAATGCTGCAATATGACAATTAAATCCATAAATGTGACAGTGCATGTATGCTATACGTATAGGCATAGCGAGCATGATTTAAAATTTTGGTGCATGATGTCTTAGTAATCTATGAGAATCCGAAAAAAAGTGACAGCAATTGTTCCCTAAAAAAATATGCAACTGTTCAATAATAATAAATATGCAAGCCAAGGATAACAATTGAGGATTCCTCTTGTTACGTTTTCATAGCGCTTGCATTGTGGTTATAGTGCGGGTATCACTGATATTCAAGATGGCTTATTTTTGTCATGACCCGTGCAAGAACTTTTTAAAAAAAGCTATAGGATCAGGTGCGCGATAGGCAACAGCAAAATATTCGTGAAAACATTCAACATTTTCATTCGAGGCTTATTTCATAGTGATTGTTTGTGGTAATTACTTTAGAGTTTTCCCATGCAATCTCGTGTTTGGTGAAACATACATGTTCGGCTAAAGCTGATTTTCCCTTGCTTAAAGTTGAAACAGCCTGCTGCAACATTTAAATTCTATTGAAGCCGTCCATCCAATTCATGGTAGAATGTGAGATAAATGGACATTTAGCTTTTTTAGATTTGAATGTGCACAGAACTGTCGAAGGGAAGTTAGAGACTGATGTTTATCGCAAACCCACACACACATACAAATACTTGTCATACGACTCTCATCACCCAGTAAGCCATAAGAGATCCGTAGCAAGAACTTTGGTTCAAAGAGCTGAATCCTTGCCTGAAGCTAATGAACGTGAATATGTTATAAATATTTTAGGGGAAAGCGATTACCCAAAACGTTTTCTTAATGATTGCCTAAGATCACCTGTTTGTAGGAACCAAAATAACTCCGAGGGTGATACCTCTGTTAAGGGTTATGTTAATTGTAATATTAAGGTTGCCTTAAAACGCTATTTGACTTTAGGCCATATTTTCGCAAAGCCAGAAGATCCTGTTAACTCATTCTCATCCGGTCGAAAAGTAGCAATTTCGAGTGGTGTTGTTTCAAACGCTTATATCTCTCAAACTATACATCGCACGGAAACAGAAATTGCATCATTCGAAAGAGGAGGACTTCTGCTTTCCAACGATACCAATTTCAATTTCATCCGGAGCTTGGTTAACGATTTACTCGCATATATTTGCATAAATTATGATAGAAAAAAATGTTGCAATTATGCATAAATGTATTTAGCGGTTCAAATTTCAAATATGTCAAAAAATTTTATGAATATGACTGAAAGACACGGTTATGATCTACAAGTACCTGAAGTTTCATGCATGTAGCATAAATAGAAATATTTTTATTGAATTTTTATATAAACTAGGTAGTGGAGTAAAATTTACATTTTGTGCTCACATGAAACAAATACCTTTATCAAAGGTCCTTTTTTATTGCTGCAACATGTTATCAATACAAATTTCCAATATTTCTTACTCTCCAAAGATAGTATGGCACCAAAATAAGTCTGTGATACCCACAAAAGAACACTCAACTCATGATTAGCAAAATGTCTTTATTTCTACAATTACTACATACATTCTTAGATAATCATTACACCATTGACTTTAGTTATTAGTGGCATAACCAGCCTCAAAATTTGGTCATGCTATTCAAATTTGACATAATCACTACTCATTTGTTTAGAAATTGATTGTTTTCACAATCTAGAACATGAAAATATTTGCAAATAGCATGACCAAGTGTTGTTGGGCTGGCATCATCATAATTAGTAGTTATAAAAAAGTAATGTTTTCCAAGGCAGTAATGTTTGCTAAAGCAGTAATGTTTGCCAAAGCACATAATTGGATTATGTGGTGAAAATATTTCCTTTATATTGTACTACAACAGACCTAAGACTGTAACCAAACTGATATCAGATCACCACGTCATACCCAAATCTGTTGAGATGAATATCTGGACTTCTTCCTGTATAAATTTCAAGTCGCAATATAACCATTAGGATTGTCTGCAGCAACCCACAGATTTATTCCCCACATAGTAGTTCATCTAGCTTTCATGAACTAACCCCCAACCTATTTCTTGATTTGACAGTGTGTTTGTCTGCAACAACAATATTCTGTGACGGCTGATACAGTTGTTGATGCAGTTTATTGCTGTAGTCTTTAGTACAGGATCTACCATATTCACAAACGCCATAAGCGCTTTGTACGTACCTAACCCGAGAAATTATGTCTATTGCCCACAGACCATGATATAAGGTTTTTACACTCCAATAATTTTCAATCTCACTGTCGACCTTTAGCAAACCTGCATATTATACTAAAAGGCAATCAACCTCTCAAGGTTGGTGGACTGCAAGACCCTTTTTTATTAGTATATGGGGATAACTTTTGAGTTATTTGTATGTGGGCATATGTATTGGTATGGCCAGGAAACTACCTCCTGAAGCATTCCCTTAGTAAAAAAGAGTCGAATGAACTCAAGCTCACAGTTCATTGAGCCGAATGAACTCAAGCTCACAGATGATCGAAATGGATCCCAGACATGTCAGTGAGGAGCAAAATCTGGGAGAACATTCCTGGCGTCAGGATCATCATATCTGTCATGTACTATGGGGCCTAGTGGGGATGCTAGACAGGGAGCTTTCGAAACCTTAGGTCCTAATGGCTGGGCTTCCCTCTACCTCTACTCATCCCCCTACCTTCCCTCTGGGTTGGTGAGTGGGGAACTCTACTTCCCTGAGGCTATGAAACAGGAACAGCAGATAGGAACAGGATCAATATATTCATCAGTGCAAATAAAAACTTTTATAGACATGGTGCCACTTAAAATTATAATAAGAGCCAACTAGTAAGATATAAGTATGAATACTTGGCTATTATGTATGTAACAAACAACCAAACATGTGCTCAAGGCTCATTTTACTTCGCCTAGGAATCAGAGATTTTTATGCCTAAAACACCATAAATTTTCGTCAACAATATAAATAAATACCATTTATATTTGTCAATTTCAGTATGAAACGATTATTTCAACACAAAAAAGCGATATGAGGACATACTTGGTCGTACTAGTGAAGCTATACTAAATACAAATAAATTTACAACGCCATGGCAACGGCAAAACATTGAAATAGAAATTGTCTAGAAATGATACAAATACTTGCCTTGAAACTCCAGACACGACTCCCAATGCCAGGTTGAGATACTTGTCTTCATACGAAGACATTCCATCATTACTAGCACTATCAGTTTGCAAAATAAAGCCAAAAACGTCTTCAGAATGCGATTCAAACAAAACTACAACACAATACATTTCAACGCTCGTGCGTTCCCGTGCGCGATAATCAGGAAAATTGCTCTAAAAGATTTGTTTTTCTGCCTAAGCCAATCAAAATCCGTATCTAGGGTAAACAAACACTCTGGAAGTGATTCCTGCAGTCTTTTACCAGGAAACTGTAATGCTTTACCAAGAATTTGGCGTCCGAAGTTGGCCGAACACGAGAATTGCCATAATAGGCTTAGATTATTTTGCAATTTCCCGAGACTGCTCCGAGCTATAGAATGGAAGATGGCGGTTCTTTTGGTATATTTGTTATTTTATACGTTGAAAAGAAGCAAAAAGACGAGCATTTGAATCAGGCAGAACATTCAAAATGCAACAGCAAAATTGATGTGTCATTTGCAAAAATTTCACCGCATTGATCATTTCAAGGTAAGAAATTCGCTTGAAATTGAGCGAGAAACAATAAAATTATATGAATATTTCCGAATATATAGTATCGATCAAGCGGAATTTTTTGGTGGTATTTTCGTATGTCTACTGCAAATACTCGCGAAGTTGTTTAATATTTAATCTTCCCGTCATATACGTCGGAAATTAATATTGGCGGATCGAATTGAGTTAAAACAAATCAGAAAACTCATGCTGTATATTCTATACCATGTGGTGATTGTGAGAAAGAGAATTTGGGTCAGTCTAAATGCCAGTTTGGTACATGGCTAAAAGAACATCAAAAAGCTGTTTCAACTTTAGACAAGGGAAAATCAGCTTTAGCCAAACATGTACGTTACACCAAACACAAGATTGCGTGGGAAAATTCTAAAGTAATTACCACAAACAATCGCTACGGTCAAAGACTTTGCCTAGAAGCGTGATATAAATATGAGAAATCATGCTTTGAACAGGGATGACGGTGCCTATTTGCCAGAGGAATATATGCATCTCATTGGCAGGTGACGTCATCCCTTGGGTATTTAAGAAGCCACAATTGCAATTTTAGATCACCCCTGATGAAGACACTAGACTGGAGTGTCGAAACGTTAGGTCTTCATTACAATTCGACTGGGCTTTGTAATAATTTATTTAAACCAGAGTAGCGAGCGAAACATGATTGATATACCTGGTTGCAATGAACGAACAAACTTTAAATGTTTCGCATTGTCAAACAACAAAGAGAAGTAAAATTCCAGCTTGTATATGCAAGTATGCTTGACCACGCAAAGATTCCGACAATATAACAAATTTGGCATGGCCCCCATACCCCCCGGCCACTGATAACTATTCAACTTGGATGGCTGTGCCATTGACTTTCTTCAGCATAACCATTCAACTTGAATTGGATGGTTATGCAGTTGACTGTCTTCGGCATAACCATTCAACTTGAATGTCATTGGTGTAATCATTCAACCTAATTCAAAACAATCATAACCATGGTTCAAGTTAATCATAACCATGGTTCACTAATCGAAAAGAGTAAGCATGGGGTCCTCAAAAGCGTGGGGCCCGTGGCATATGCCACTTTTGCCATATGGTTAATCCGGCACTGATATTAATATCCCTATAAGTAAAAATTACAGTCTCAATTACCTTTGGTATTGTAAGTCCATACTCTCTTATACACCTGACGATAATAAGATTGATAACAAGCGGTTCGCCAGACTCTGGTGCTGAAATTGGTACGGAACCTTCATTCGCATCCTCCGTCTGGTACTTGTTTAGCCCGTGCGGAATTATCACATCGACGAAAAGAGAGTACGCTGAATTAGCATCCAATCCTACATCTGCCAGTTCAATAACCTGACAAATAAATTGCATGAATGAGATGAATTTAATTGTGAGAGTGCGCAATGCCGGATACAATTCATAGTGCAACGTAAAGGTGGTTTTGTAGTTTATTCGCATATACTTGTGCTTTTCAGCAAAACCAATCAAAATAGCATAATTCTTCATGCATTTGTCGTCTAAATCTTGTACCATTGCTGACATCTTGTACCATTTCTGAGCGAATGGATTTGGCAGGTGTTTGGCAATGTACTCTACATCCTCAGACACACAAATCATTGTTCCAACTGCGCTCGAAGCTCGATCTAGCATATTTTTGCAATCATGCTCCGCCCTTTGGGGCATCTACTACTCCATTGGGACATCTCTTTCCTTCTATAAATGGAATCAGCACGAGTCGTCCAAACACTCTACATAAATTGAAGAAATAGTAAACAGTAAACTTCAGTGTCAAACTTCTGATACACTGGTAGATTGTATGGCATAAAACCTATCCTTAACTGTGCTTTTGTGTGATAATTCTATTACAAATGCATGCTTTAAAAAGTAATAGGTTTATTTGCTTGTAAAAAGAGCCCTATATGATGCAGTAAGTGATACACACAAGAATACATCTTTCCGATGATTATGTCATAACATTTTAGCCTGGATTATATCGTTCGCATTATTATAAAGATGACGTTGCTTCCTGGCCAAAAAAGTATTTGTAACGTCATTATAGAAAAGATAATAATAAGAATTATTTATCAATTAGTGGTAAACGTTACGCTTCACTGCAAAGTTATACCAACAATGACATATACAATGTAATTAGATTATAATATAGTATAATTGGCTTACGTTGAATCCAGGTTAAGACCATCCAGAACCTCACAATTTACAGTAAATATTGGGAGAGTTTTAGGTCCCTTTTCGAAAATGCATGTGCCATCTTTTCCATTATTAAATATGGATAAGACCGCATCTCCAAGGATCTTGGATCCTTCCCGTCCAGAACGGGTGGCAGGGTTGAGCGACTGCAAAGGTGAGGTATAAACCTTTCTTTCACAGAGGAATAGAAATTGGCAGTGTTACCAATTAAAGAAAGGGCAGCTCGGGCAGATGTCGTTTTCCCAAGTCTGTTTTTTTAACATACAATAGGCGTTGGGCAGTATTTCATAAGTTTGATAATCATTTCATAATGTAATCCCATTAACATCGCAGCTATATATAAGGAAAATTAAATATATTATAAGAAGACTTAATCGTAATGTTTAGTGACGGACGAGTAAATGTCCATCTGAGCAGTACATGACAACGTCTATACTTTATAATATCTTATGTCCCAGTCGGAGATTGAATGCAATGGAGATGGACATACCGATGGTAAAAATTCCCGCCATTCCATTGTGGTGTAGAGTAGCAATTAATGATTTAACAACGTCCTGGGAAGCATGATTGATGGCAAGTTGCTGCTGTTTCCCAGGATTGAATCATCCCCTCAAGAATACTTTTTATGTAAACATATGAAGTGTTCTCTTCATTAGCGAGATTTCCGTCACCCGTAACTTGTATGTCGTTTCCAAGCACCCAAACATGACTATCCGGTTGACGACCGATGTGCACTGCTGCCTTGTAGGTGTCGTTTGTGTTTGCAATACGGCATTTTCTATAAAATAATTATGTAATATATAAAGTAAGCAATTGTCATCTAAACATTCGGACATATGTATAAGTGAAGTTTATTAGAGTCAGTTAAACCATGGATTGTAAAATAACTGGATAGGAAACTTCCTGATGTCAGAGTCTAAATTTAGTTGCAATCTGTGATGTCACATGTATTGCCAAAGTTCTCTGCATTTTTGTTTCCCTGTATTTTCCACTTTAAAAGAGTAATATTGAAGCATAAACTGGTCTAATTGTTTTAAAAACATGCCTAAGCCACGACAACGTATTCAAGGTGAATGTTTTTCGTCTTTGTTTTGTATTTTTTTACATTTGTAGCTACAAATTTGGCGTCGCCAATTTTAACGAAATTTGCAATGCATTTTTCACTGTTCAGTGCTTGAAATATTTGCTCAAATTGACTGGGAATACTTAGTGATTTCATCGTAGAATGGCGTAGTTATATTTATTTGCTCTTTGACTGAAATGTTTTGCTGTATTATTGCTAAACATGCCGTTTTTGAGAATTTGGTTTGCAACTAGGTTTCAACATCCAATCACGCCATCAGCCCATTGAAAACATTAGGTCACGTAAGCTAGTTTCCTATCCATTTATTTTATTATCCATGATCAAACATTGCACCAGTATGCATGCATGATAATTGCGGATATGTGATGTCAAAAAAGAGTTTATGAATTATTGCTATACAAGTATACCAGCAAAATTGTTACAAGGATCTGTATTCCATAGAAAACCAGAATTCCGGAGTATGTGATATATAAAAATAGCTGATTATCAAAATATATCTCATTAACGCACAAGCTGTTACAATGTTTCTACCCCCCTAACGTGCAAGCAATATGGCAAATACGTGACTGAATTCAAGAGCTTTCACCAAAATGGCAATATCTCAGAAACAGTTGCATGAAAAAATCTGGTCTTTTCAACCAAATATTATTAATATATGATTGACCAAATTTAGTTTAAATGAACTTGCATACCTATATATATCATTAGTTTTTTCAATGAGAATTTTTATTTTTAAACCAGTGACACTATTTTTTTCATGTCACTCATCACCTAAAGGGGCAATATCTCCATATATTTATATAAAAACCAAAAAAAAAATTATTTACTAAATTAGTACATATCTATATTATAACCAATTTTCATCTATTGGGATATGAATTAGAAAATGATCAAAAATTATAAAAATACTCCTTTGCTTTTTTGGGCAAGATGTTTACAACATGAAATTTAGAACAGTAACTAAGTGTTAAAATTCAACAAAGTGTGCAAGCCAAAACACAGTGCGTGTACATCTTTGGAGTTTTTAATTACCTCAAATATATTTAAAAGGACATACGGTACTAGAATCTATTTGTTTTCAATATAAACCAAGGATGGGAAGGTGAGAAAATAGGAATTTTCTGAGGTGTTTTTAACACAGACAATGACAGCCGACATTTTCAAAGGCAAAGTGCGGTGACAAAACCAAAAGTTATTCACTTCTCTACTCAAAGCACTGAAAAACACCATAAAGAGAAAAACATTTTAAACATACATCAGGTAAGCCTTTTAGCTCAATTTTTTCATGTTTCTGTTTGGAAAGAAACGGTTTTTAGCCAAAATTATTTTGCGCGCTAACGATAACCTATAAAGATAACCTAATATAATAGTCAGGTATTCAACATAGCTATAAAAGGGTGAAATAAGGACTTTCATCTTTGGTTGTTTGTCAGACATGAGAAACCACATTAGTGCCATTTTGTCGCGCGTGCTATTTTATAAAATAAACACCTCAAAACCATAAACTTTTAGTTCAGAAAATTACAAAGTTTCCCACAGGCATTATTAAAAATGTTCTAGTGAAACGATTTCATGATAAATAAGCGAGCAATGGGCCCGAAAGGACGGCTAAATTATGTTTTTGTTGGGACTTCAGTTTCATGGCTTCCCGCAAAGGAAGCCATTTCAGAGAGAAGCAACAACAACGGCAAACAACCGTCGCGACCAAATTTTGATAACTTTTCCTTCTGATTCAACATGTAGTTACTAGAAAATGAGGTTGGATCAACATTACTATCTGCCTTATCGATTTAAAGTTTTATGGGGATATAAAACCCAATACAAAAAGCATTTTAAAAGCTTTAGAACTCAAGTGCGGACTTTTTGAGAATTCGCACGCGGCAAGCAAGCGCATTAATTCAATACACTTATTTCAAACCTCAATATGTCTGAAACGAGTTGTCATTTTAAGACTAAATTGATGAAAATAGATATAACAGTGATTTTGGAGTACCCTACTTACTTAGTGTAATTTAATACTCGAAGTATTCTTGCCAAATAGGGCACGTACGCACACAATAATTTCATCTGGTGTCGTTTGAAACATACTTTAGCTAAAATAACAACTTGAACAAGAAGACCAACAATGGGGTTAAGAAAACAGTAGAAATTGTGCCCAAATTTGCATAAACAGTTCGTCTAAAAAGATAACTTTAAACTAGATTCAACCAACATTAATGCAGTCGAATTTTGTGAGTGTTTGATCGCATATTTCTACTCAAAAATACCCTTTAAAAAATCGTATTTGCTCACTTGTGTTCCGTGTTCATCTTTCTTGTGATTTCCGACTTCTATTTTTAATAAAGTTTGGAGAAATCCTCATCTTTTTGGCTGAAAATCTCGCGCATGGTTCACAGAAAAACTTGGCCCCAAAACGTCAATACATTCGCTTTTCTTTCATGCCAAATTTTCGTTGTAGTTGATTCAGAAACCTCTTCTTTTCTTGCTTTTAAAACTTGCTGTAAAATCTTTCTTTGTAACAGAATCGCCATTATTCATTATTTTTGGAAAACTAAGATTTTAAACTTGAAAAACTTTGCGAGTTTCTGACCGATTTTCTTACATGATACACCGTTGAAAAGCTCGAATTTCACGTTCTATTTTCGTATCCGTTGCTAGGCAACCCGATAAACACATGCTCAAATATCATGCCCGCAAGTTAAGGTGTCATGCCAGGGCGCATTCGGGCGCATTGTCCGTTACCCACTTGTCAATCTCAGGGCGCATACGGGCGCATTGGGCGTTAATGAGATATATATATATTTTTACAGATGAAGAGCTACTTGTTGGAAATACTTATTATTATTGTTATTGGTGTTGCTGCTGTTGTTGTTGTGTAAATTTCTGCATCTTCAATAATTGCAGTTTCACCCTGTTGTATAAATACAGTGGCGCCATGTCCGGGGGCATGGCCCCCCCTATTGTTGAGACCCGTCGGAAAATTGTCAATGTTGTCGGAAATCTTCTAGCCTCCTCCGCAGGCATCTCTTAATCATCGAGAACTTAGATAATTTAGTTATTCAAATAACTGATGTTCTTATTGGGTTACCTGCACAGGGAGAGATGCCTACGGAGGAGGCTAGGAATCTTCGTGGTGAAGCATTGGAAAAAGTGCTATGAAAATCGGGAAAAGTGCTACGAAAGCACTACAAAAGCGGGGGAGGGGGGGGGGGAGGAGATTTTTACCTGAAATAATTTTTCACAAGCCATTTCAAGAAACTGGAACTCTTGTGGCTCCAAAATGCAAGTCAGGACACCTGATCCAAAAGATTTAATAAGTTCTTCCAGAAATCTTGCAGTTCCTCTGTTCATTACTTTTTGCAATCTAAAGTAGCATATTCTAAAAAAACATGAGAGTAATTAATTCATTAATTGTGCAACAGCGACTACTATAACTAGATACTATACTATGCCAGAACTATATTTGCATGGTGTATATAAAATTTCCGCAAAAATTGTCCAGATTTTCATTGTTTTAATTGAATTTATTTTTTTAATTGAATTTATTGAAATTTTCAAATGGCAGGTTGCTATCAAATGATTGACAATCTGAAAAACTTGAAATTACATAATACTATATGATTAAAAATACGTAATTTGGAATACAACTATTTAAAAAATATGTTCGATGATAATACTTTACTATATACTACACTGTCTTCACGCATGTAAGTTTACTAACTACCCAGAGAATCCCACTTTGCAACACAGTACGGAATAAAACTATTTCTAAAACGTTCAGTCCTACATTTAAATAGAGGATATTTCCTTGGATTCCTTAAACTATACTTATGTGTAATAGGACTTGGGAGAAGATTGTTTAGTTTATTGTCATCTTTTAAAATAGATTGATACAAGGACAGACACTGAATTTCTCTTCGTTCTTGAAGTGTTTTTAGTTTTGCTTTATCAAGGGCTTCAGCGTATGAATGGAGTGGGAACACAATCTTTAAAGCTCGTTTTTGGGTGTGTTCGATTTGATCTGATAACATCAATGGCAGAGAAGAGTGCCAAACTTGACATGCATACTCAAGCACTGGACGAATGAATGAACAGAAGATGGAAATTAGATTCTTTACTGGAACACCATGGCGTTTCAGGATTCGTAGGGCATATAGTCGCTTGCTTGCTTTAGCAGATATGTTTGAAACGTGAATGTTCCAGGACAGATCACTGCTTAGAGTGATACCCAGGAGTTTGAAACTATCAACAACTTCAAGCGGACTACCGTTTATTGTCAGATGATCAAATTCAGGTTCAGATTGTAAAAAGGATACACGAAATTCTTTGGTTTTCTTGGCATTCAACCGCATATTGTTAGTATTGCTCCAATCACAGATTGTACTAATATCTAGTTGAAGGGTAGAATTACAAGCTGGCCGGGAAACCACTTCATATGTACTGCAATCGTCCACGTACTTATACAATGGGTGTGTGGTGGTGGTAGTGGTGAGGTCGTTGATCATCACTAGGAAAAACAGGGGACAAAGGATGGTTCCTTGAGGTACGCCGGCCTTAATCTGTTTCCAATTAGATCTTATTTCTCCAAGTTTTACACGAAGTTGACGATCTTGCAAAAAATTGGCACACCAATTTATCAATATGGGGGGCACATTGATCAATGTCATGACGCTTTTGAGAAATCAATCATACATGATCTAATTAGGTTTCCAGGTTTGTCAGTTTCAACCAACCAATGGTGAATGAGATGAATGAGCTGGTGAGTTGTCGAACAGTTCTTTATGTTTCCATATTGATATGGATCGATGTGCAGATGAATAGAGGAAAGGAGCCAATGATAAATAAAACGTTCCAGTATTTTACTAAGGACAGATGTAAGAGAAATTGGTCGTAAGTCATCATCTGCAGATTTGGGATTAGGTACTTTAGAGATTGGTATGACGTCCGCACATTTCCAGGTGTTAGGGAAAGCACCTTGAGCAATGGAAGAATTGAATATAGAACAAATAGGACTGCTAAGAAAAGATGCGCAAAACTTAAGGAGCCAGTTTGGTATTGCATCCGGACCAACAGATTTATGTACTTTTATATTGGACAATTCGTACTCGACTTGTTGTGGTGAGAGAATGAACTCATTAGGAATTGTAGTAATTGGTAACTTTGTAAAACTCAGTGCTGGAATATCATCTGATACTTTGCTGAAAGATTCAGCAATTAAATCTGCTAAATCTGCACCTCGCTTGAATTCACCATCATGATACAGGCAGGAGGGTAAGGGTGGCTTTGCAAATCCAGACAAAGCTTTGATGTTTTTCCACCACTTCTTAGGGTTGCTGTCCTTAGTATTTAATATCTTTGAGTTAAAATATGTGCGTCTAGCTTGCCTGCATAATTTAGTAGTTTTGTTGCGGTAGAAGGAGTATGCAGAGGGATGGCCAGTTAACCATGCTCGTTGTCGTTTGGCGATAAGCTTTTTAATGTTAGTATTTATCCATGGTTTATCAGATGGGTGCAGCTTAATGCTGCGCATAGGAAGGTGAGAGTCTATCGCCTTAGATAGAATTGCATTAAAACAAGTTAACTTCTCGTTGCACGTCGTATAATGTTGAACACAAGACCAGTCGGTTCGCGATAATTCCATCGTCAGCGCTTGTTTATTGGCCAATCTGCAATCTCTTCTAAGAATACGGGTAGTGTGTTGGGTAGTAGGACAATATGCTTTTGGCTTTAATATTATAGATGAGTAGTCTGAACTGCCGATAGGAGGGAGAATTAATGATTCACAATAGTTACGATGTAGGTTGGAATAAATTTGATCTAAGATATTTGCTCCTCGTGTTGGTCTTAAAACAAGTTTTTTCAATTTATATGAAGAGCACAAACTGCCCGGCTTAAATTGATTGAAGTCGCCCAGGATAATAATACCAGAATTTGGATATTTTGTTAGGGCAATATCGAGGGATTGGAATAGATGGTTTCGCAGAATGTTGTTATTATTTTGCGGTGGGTGGTATACTGTGACCATGATAATCGAGTTAATATTCCTTGGTAGTATATATGGCTTGAGTAAGAACCATTGTGTTTCGACTTGCACATCAGAAAAATAGTCTAATTCTATAAAATTTAGTTCTTTGTTGATGTAAGTACATAGCCCTCCCCCTCGTTGCTCCGAAGCTCTGTCCTTGCGCACTGTTGAAAAACCTGGTATGCTGATTAAATTGTCAGTTATATGTGATAAAAGCCAGCTTTCAGTGATAACTGCGATGTCACATTTATTCGTTAAGATTGCACCACATATCTCATCAATTTTATTTACCATAGATCGGGTATTACTTAGAAATATTGTAGGAAAGTCATGCTTTGTTGAGCTATTTACGATTTGAATATTTAATAGGTTGCTTCGATTAATCACTTTGGTTTGAGTTGCAGGGAATCTAAAACAGTAATTTCTTCGAGAATGTATAGTTGGAATATGATTCGTACAGGTACGTTTTGTATACAATCCACCACGAAGTCCTCTGTATGGTCGAATCAAACCAAGATCTTTAAGATGATTCCAAATATTTGTCGGCAAAGGCATATTCAGTGGGCCATGTCGGTGCTTTAGCAAGACGTTTCGTAGTTGAAATAATGTATTTCTTGAATAAGTCAGCACGTTCCAGATTCCACGAACAGGTACAAACATTTCTCTGGATATTTTGTAAACACTTCTTGCAAGATATAAGCATAGAAATAGACACAGTCAGATATAAAAAGTGAATTTGTACGGAGCTACTAGGAGTTGCAGCCATTAACGGCGCATTAACATAATTTGAAGCTTGATATGACGTTTAAATATACAAACGTTTAAATATACAGACTTGAATTAAAAGCTTGATATGACGTTTAAATATACAAACGTAAACATGATACCGATAATACCGAAGAATATCGATTGCAGTCATTAACGGCGCATTAACATAACCCGTATATTTAAGTACCGCATTTTCATTGTTTTATACCCGCATATTTATGTATGGGATAAATCTGCTGTCATGCATGGTTATGGCCTTGGAAATTTACGCTGTGTGTATGGTGAACGCAAATATATTTACAAGACTTTACTAAGCACTAATGTGGTAATAATGCCATCATTTAGCTGTACATGTGTGGCAAGACAATCAGTTGTTAAATCAAAACCACAAATTGAAAGGCAAAGAGTTACCGTGCGCCAATATGCAAGGTTAACTGAAAGCGCAAAATCTGATGTGCATGGCTAATGAGTAATGACAATTAACTGACTTAAAATGTCGAAGATATAGTGTGTATTATTTAAAAGGAAAAACAGAACATTATAGGTTTTCGGTCATTATAGGTTTTATTAAAGTAAAAGAAATGAAGTTTGCAAATATATGGAATGTTCAAAGTGCTTCTGCTGATAAATGGAAACAGTAAAATATGTCACTGACAATATATAAATGATAATGACTAATATTCACCTTCATATTGTGTTCAAGTAAAAATGTCTAGAGGTTATGAATGGTTCATTACCCGAGCAGCATTGTGAACATGGTTATGCATTAATTTTTGCATGGACAAAATAATGAAGGGGAAAAAGGAATATGAAACTATAGCTGTAAGCCGATGCTACAAACTGGCAAAATTCTATCAGGACACTTGGTGACTATAATACCAAGTTGCAAGGACATGGTTCATATAAATATAAACATACTAATTTACACAATTTAACAACCCCCCCCCCCCTTGGCACGACACAATGTTGGTTTTTATGTCGGATATCGGATTACTGTGCTCTTCCACATGCAATAATTTTAATTCGTTACCATGCAGGATTGTAGCTGGGTGTGTTGCCTAGATTGAATTAATGTATTCGTGTATCATGATATTTTATTCTTCTGCATTGAAAAGCAGTATAAAGTATTGAAATTTATCGCATGAGAAACAAAATTAGTCTGCAACATTAACCGAAACATTTAGTAAATTAATATAATTTATATCAGCATATGTATAAATTGTGTTAAATCTGTTTAATTTGGGTGCAACTTGTTTCCATTTGTAACCATTCCTCATGCAGTACCCACAGCTAAAACTTCAGCCATGGATGAAAAGACTGAAATTATAGAACTATAAAATTAACAGTAGTTTTATGTTTAGTTTTAAAGCCGGAAAAAGCCACAGACACATTAGCATACGTCCTGAGGTTATACTGATACGCACGCATGTAAGGGAAGGTATATATATACATATGACAAATTACTAATACACATTGACACAATGTCTATACTTACATGACATGCATGAACTATGTGAATGTAATACACTATAGTAGAATTCAGTTTTTAACAGTCGGAAAGCTAGGTAGGGATATAGCAGAAGGCATTAAAATAGATATCAGAATTTAGCCTGCCAACTGAAATGCCGACACATAAACATGTAAAAAAGTTTTAGTGGGACAAAGGCTAAACTTTCATGACAAAAACTATGTGGATTTAACATGCCGTATGATGGCAGAATTCAGCATTTTGTATACAATCAAAAAGAGTAGGCAGGGATACCAAAAAGCCTGTTCAATTAACGACATCATTTCGATGATCAACCAAAATGTTGCCATTTAAAAAAATTGGCTCCAAATGTAAATCCATCTTGTTTATGGCTATTTTTAACAATATGAATAATTTGTGAACATACTATTAAATACATTATTAGGATATGAATGTATATTCAACTTCAAAAATCATTCTCATACCTTTGCTGCTCCCTCAAAGAACAATAGTAATTTATAATAATTTATAATTTATTACATTTTGCCTCAACATGCAGGCTTGGAAACCACAACAGCTACGGCCATTTACTGCGGATCCATTATGATACATCAAGTTTAATATCAACTAACAATAAATAACGATTACAATTACCAACAAAACATACAAACATATACAGACATTAACAACATTAAAGCTACGTTTACACACCGCCATCCACCGCATACGATTCACCCTCTGGCGTATGTCATATGATAAACATGCGTAAACTGGCTACATTAGTAATTTATGAATTATGGCGCCAGCACTAATTTTAATACGCCAAAATACAAACCGCACACGAAAAATCGCAGCGCGTAAACGTACCTTTTTATAAAGACATTAAAAACAGCACATAGGAAGAGACAGAAGACTACGGGCAGAGCCACAATTAACACAAATTGACTTCCATGTCGGTGCATCTTCAGAGTCATAAGTTGATTTTAAAGCACTCTGGTAATATTCCTTCAACAAGTGTTTGAAGGAAGACAAAGACATTGTGTTCCTTCGTATTTCCTTTGGCAGAACATTCCACACCCTTTTCGATCGAACCAAGTATGATCTAGCGTAAGTAGAAGTTCGACACAGCTGTTCCTCTAACATAATGGTGCCATCAACTCGGCTGCTAGATCTTGTTGACCTTCCTGGTTCTTTGACTGTCGGTAAAAGTGCTTTTTCTGTGTAAGTCATGTTGTTAGTAAGTTTGAATAGTAGTACCATGTCCAAATATTCATGCCAGTAGGAGAGTGGAAGTAAATCTGTCTGGATAAGTCGTTCTTTGTAAGTGTCAGGACAGCGGTAGTTGAAGTATGTATTTAGTAGCACGCCGTTGAATTCGTTCTATGTCTTTGATCAGTTCCACAGTTTGAGGGGCCCAGACCTGAGATGAATAAGCAAGATGTGCACGAACAACAGTCAGATAGATTGTTCTCCTAGTTCTTGATAGATCTTGCATAGAAATCCACTGTCTTGACCTGCGTCAACATGTTTCAACAATTCTATCAAAAATGTAGCTTTTTCCACGTAATGCACTATCCCATTCTTATTTTTTATTTTGATGCCGAAATCTTTATCTCTCGAAACAAAAACGGGCTCCATCATAAATGAAACTAGTTAGGATTATGAAGCATCACGTTCGATGATCAGCTTGCAGAATGCGAATTTCGCGCGTACCGTCGCATATTAAACTATCATCTTTGCTTCTTCCCTAAAAGGTAAATACTACCTTTTATGGACTCTTATGCCCAGATCCCATCTTATGCGAATTTTATAAATATTCAAAATATAGAAATCTTGAACCAAATTTACATCAATTTTTAGAGCAGATGCGCTAATAGTGTTTACAATGAAGCTGGGCTATATACTACGTGTTGCAGTGTCCCCATTAATACATTAACAATGACATTTTTAGCACATTTGAATTTCCCACCATAACTCCTATGTCATGCTATCGTCATTTGTGATGTCACATTATGACGTACCAGTAGGGAATTTTTATCAACAGCTTACGATTGCAGTCCGATTTCCAGCGATGACATGGTCGGCAATGCGTAACATGCATATCTGGCAGTTTTAAGAGTTGCGGTATCGAGGCAAGCGCAACTGCTAAGTGAACCCCAAAGTCCAAACCTTAAATATGCCGCCACATGCACAGGGTAGGCAATAAGGTACTGTGCGAAGAAATATGATTTAGAGCTGGGTTTATGTTATACTCATATATACAGGTTTATAACAGTTGTTTACATGTATATATATATAAGCAGGGGAGTAGGAACCGGCAGGAGGGACAGGGGCCAGTGACCCCAACTTTTCTTCAAAGTGCCCTTTTTTGTCAGCTAAGACAATGGAAAATATGCCCTTTTGTTAAGACAAAGTGCCCTTAAGACAGAATGCCCCTCCAAGTTTAAGTTGCTTCCTATGCCACTGTATACAAGATAACACTCGTAGTCGACTACCAAGCTTGTTTGTTGTGGATGACGGTCGTTGTGGATAATGTCAATATTACGTTAATGTCATTAGGGTTGGTATGAGTGAGGGTTAGGGTCAGGGTTGACGAACCCTCAACGAGTGCCTGTGAGGTAGTCAACCAACGGCTTTACAGATAGCTACATTATATATACCAAACAAAGCAACTGAGCAATAGCGTAGGTCCAGCAAAGCTCTATCACTAGTGAATTTCTTAACAATAATTTATATACTTGTCATAATTCAATACCGATCTCGATTACATCACAATTCCACATTGTATTGCTAAAGCTGGTAATATATTGAGTTTGACTTGTTCATTCTTTGGCTTCATACAGATCAGTCTACAAATGTATTTAATTAAATTATTATCTTTACAGACCTTTTTCATTTTATAATATAATTAATATAATATAATTTGTATTGATATTATGATCCAGGTGATCTCGTGTTCGTATTTTAGCCAATCAGCGCTCAGAAAGGGTTGTCCGAATAGAAATCCATTTTGATGTATTCAGTCAATTATATCTTTCATTATTCTTTATGAAACTAGTTGAAATTTTGTAATTATGTTTGGTTATGAGAACTATAGCTCTGACAAAAATATGGAATCAAAATAAATTATATTACAGGAGATATTCAGTTGTTTTAATCATAAAATGGATTTCTATTTGACAACTAGTGCCAGTACTTTTCCGCGTATCAAGATCACCTGGATAATTGTGCACTTGCGTTGTAATGCGTCCTTCAATACACATGCCAAAACATGAGCCTATTAAATTGGACATTTGCGTCTTTGATCTTGCGCACACGCTGTCGCTATTTTTGTCAGTTTATTGGTTTCATATTTCATTTGAGCGTCATAACAACAATGTTAATATGGCGGCTGAAAGGAAGGGACTTCGACTGGAGAAAGGATTCTACAAAGTTGTAGAGGATGGAGTGCCCTTAGCATGCGCTAACTATCCTAGCTCTCATTGATAATGACTGTTCCAACATTATAGTGATGGAACACTTGTTCTATCAGGTCAAGTATGACAGTACCTGTACGTATAAGCGCCTTTATCCTTATGCTTCTTTGATTAAGGTGGCCTTAAACAAATCGTCCATTAATCGGTTGAAAAGAAATTGAAAATCCAACAATTCTTTATTTCAACATTGCCATTGTTCTAAATAACGTAGTAGTAGCATGCAAACAATAACAAGCCGACCATAGTACTATATTACAGTATAAAATATGCAAAGAACAACTCAAATAACCTTAATACTTGTTTACTTCCACTACAAAGAACGGATTTCCAGACAAGCGATTATTTCTATCGCTCTTTCGCTGTTGATCTTCCCATTCATTTGCTGCATCAATCCCAGAAAGTACAAACACTAAAATGAATCTTGCAAGCATCCAATGCCATACAATAGCTGTTATCGTAATTGAATACGTCTATGCTACGGACCAGCGGTATCTGCATTATTTTAACATCGAGACAAGGCTATAGGGTCATGTTTTGTGTTTTTTGACCCTTTAGCCTCGTTATCGTGCATACTTCCACTGAGATACCGCTGGTTCGCCGCAGCAGCGTATTCAATTACGATACCAGCTATTAAAACCATTGCGCTATTTGCGCATTTTGCACATACAGTTAAAATTGTCAACCCCCAATGTACAGAACAAATATTGTGCCAAAATTAACAATTCACCTATCAAAATAATCACAAGAACCCATGCTTTTTGAATCCGCGCTAATTTTTAACATTGCGCATGGCAAAATGGTGTTCAAGAACTTCAAAGGCAGCCTGCAGGCATCTCAACGGTATTTTTAGTGTGAAGTTTCACTTCACACTATTGTGATGGCTGGCAAATTCACACGAATCAGTCAGTCAGTCAGTCATAGAGTAAACTTTCCGGGGGGTGTATACGATTTATGTTCGTAGTGATTTATTGTGCTTAGTCACTACTTTGAAAGTTATTTAGGCAATTTCAGTTAACTTATTTACATATTCTGTTATCCTTTTGCCAAGTTCACAAAAATTTCGAGGAATCGCTTTCGTTATTGTAATTTTTTGTAAATTTTAGAACATTTGCTTCTCATGTTGTGTAAAGGATCTTTACCACGGAACACCCGATTTTTTCTTTAGTAGCGCAAATGCGCATGCGCTATCAAGCCGTAGATCACGATGGCGTGACGATATGCTAGGAAGGGGTGACAGTGTTGTTTTCAGATGTATAAAGATTTCAGACGTGAATATTGAGTAAATGAATCTTTGAAAATCTACGCAATATATAAATTGATCTTATCCATTACGGGCATTCAATTGAGTGCGGATATATTTAGACGGTATATTCATTATACAGAGCTAGGAAGGAGCTAGATCGCCTAGACAGTGCAGTCAAGTGTGTAAACATTTCAGACGTAAATATTGAATCGAAAATCTTGAATCTAGGCATTCATTTGAGTGCCGATATTATTTTCACGGTATTCTCATTTACATACAGAGGTACATTACGTAGGCAGAAGCGAGACAGTGTTGTTTTCAAGTATATAAACATTTCAGACGTGAATATTGAGTAAATCTTTGAAAATCTACACAATATATAAATTGATATTATGCATTACGGGCATTCAATTAAGTGCCGATAATATTTGGACGGTATAATATAGATAATATTTTGACTCAATATTTATCAGACGTAAATATTGAGTCAAAAATCTTGATTCTAGGCATTCAATTGAGTGCCGATATTATTTTCACGGCATACTCATACAGAGGTACAGTACGTGGAGGCAGAAGCGAGACAGTGTTGTTTTCAAGTATATAAACATTTCAGACATAAATATTGAGAAAATCTTTGAGATTCTATGCAATAATAGTAATACAATATATAAATTGATGTTATGCATTACCATCAATATTATTTAGACGGAATTAGACTGCGTATTCATTATACATTGTCATTGACTGTATAAGGGAGTGGTCATTATTTATGGGGAGGGGGGGTTGGGAAATGGGGGG